CTTACTACAACCGTTGCTTGTAAAAAAAAAAAACCCGCTCGTACGCGATAATTTATCTATTACTTTTCTTCGCCTCTTTTTCTCTCTCTACCTGGGCCCATAACCTGTTGTCGCTTATTCGCAGTTATGAGAGAATCAAATAAATAAGAGGAACGATTACACACAATGCAATGTATATTTTAACGTACAGCAAGCTACAAGAACATGAATGCAAAAGGTAACGGAAAAAACGGAAGGTTAGATCAAAATCGCGGTAAATCGATTAGTTCGATATCAAGTATGGCGATCGACTTCTTCTATCTTTGTTAACAAAACGCAATTATAAATGCTAAATCTAATTTTTACTTAATGAATAAACTAACAATGTACTACCCGCGTTGTTACAGCCCGCGGTTTGAAAACAAATAATTGAAGAATTAAAGGACTCTTTTATATAACAATAATTAATACGTTAAAAATGGCGAATAAGAGTCAAATTACAATTTAAACAATTAAACAATTAATTATTACAATTTAACTCAATAAAAGTATGTTTATCCTTTTACTATCGTTACGTAGATGATATTATTCTTGCGGCCCTTGCCGAGAGTATTAATTGCATTTTGGAACGTTTTAATTCTTTACACACAAGAATTCAGTTTACCATAGAAGTTGGTAATGATAATAAAATAAGTTTTTTAGACACTTTGATTTCAGTTGAAGATAATAAATTGATTTTTGATAACTATCGTAAAGCCACATTTTCGGGTAGAAACCTTAATTTTCATTCCCAACATCCTTTGTATCATAAGAGAGGAGTAGTGTATGGGGTGGTTGATAAGATAATTCTTTATTGTCATCCTAGGTTTCAACGGAACAATTTGATTGACGCGATTAATAATTTTTTAAAAAATGGATACCCCCTGAATTTTATATTTTCGACTGTTAATAATAGATTAAAATTTCATTTAAACAACACAAATTCCGTTAATAATAATGTTGGTCTCAAAAAGTTTTTTACTGTTCCTTTTGTAAAATCAATTTCAGAAAAATTTACACCTATTGCTAATTCTGTCAACACGCCATCTAAGATCTCATGCCGCTCAGCATTATACTTCTTCACACACTCATTTCATTACGAGATTGTATATATTAACATATAAAATAACTTACATAAAAATATATCCATGTTCTTGGTCGAACGCCTTTCTTTTTATTATGAGTTGTTACTGAGTTGTATGTTTTTTTTAGTCCTGAAAATTTAAATGCACATTGTGGTCCAGTAACCAAGGTTTTTCAATTTTACAGCAATTTTACACCAAATTTCGTTTTTAAACGTTTTGCCACTTATAAAATCATCTTATCGCAATCGATATTCTTCTATGAGAATAAGAACAGCTTGATATGTATGTGGCCATTTAAATGCTGTAAAAATAAACTAGTCCATAATTCATGTGTACCACGAAGTGCGTTGAGTTCGATAGGTATTGTTGACTCTTTTCCGTGTACGCGGTGTACGTGATTGGTCGATGTTGAGATAAATGAATATGAGACGTGTCGAAGAGGCGCGCGCCGTTTAATTCAATGGGAAAAAATGACAGTTATAGAAATATTTAGGATGTGTTCCACTTAACGTTCGCAACGATCGCATCTATCATCTCATCCTTATTTAACATTCGATTACAAGAAGGACAAAATGGATACTCGCGAGCGTTGCGAACGTTAAGTGGAACGCATCCTTAATGAATTCATGTGAGCGTTAGTGCAATTGAGAGAGCGAGAGGAGCGAGCGAGAGTGCAAACGAGAGAGTGAGAGAGCGTGGAGAGCGTTAGTGCAATTGAGAGAGCGAGGTGCAAAGGATACAACTTTAAATAAAATCATTTAAAAAATATGCTTTAAACCAGAGATATATTCATTTATTTTTTAAAAAATTTAAATTACTGCTATTACTGGTATACAAACTAATGAAAAAGTTTAAAAATTTAATTAATTCATAAAATAGTGAATAATAATGAAGTTTAATCGCATAGATCATAGAAGAAATTGAAAAAACGCTTATTATGTTTATCGAGACCGAGACAAGATTATCATTGTCGATACCAGAATGATACCGAGACGAGATGTAAATTTCGAGACCAAATCAAGACCGAGACGAGATTTGAGCTAGTCTCGCCTCGCCTCGGCGAGACCGAATCTAATACTGAGACCAGACAAAGACTCATTATAAGTTTTTAAAGATTCAACTTTCTGTTTCGATCAGATTCTGCTTTATACATATATAAGAAAATATTGCTGATATTAAATATTGCTAAACGTCAAGAAGTCTATTCCATAACTCTTAACAATTATCGTTGCATAGATATGATAAAAAAGTATTAATAAATAAATATACTAGTTATAGACTCTTTTTGTTTAAAATAAATAAATAATAAAATTGAAAGGATATAAAGAGTCAACGCAGTTCGGTCTGTGATTTACACCATCTTCAGCGATTACATAATCAATAGTTCAAGTGCTCCAAGTATAATGCTAATTGTAAGAACAATTATTGTTAAATGACAGTATGTTCCCGTGCATCAACAAAGATGAATACATCGTTGAAAATTTTCCAATTGTCAGAAATATGTCTGTGAAAAACCGTTATACACAAACAATCAATTAAAGTCAATCTAATGCATCTATTGAACATTATCATAATAACACCAAAGAAATTCTTTTGCACTCATCCCTGCTGGTAGACAAAAACATAATTTCGCACATTAAATTCAATGTTTAATCGTATTAGAACGTATGACAATATTATATGTGTCCGTATTCATCATAAAGAAACAATGCAATGAGGAACCGTCAAAATAAAACGATAACAAAAAAAAGGAAGACCTAGGTCAAATAACTGTTGTCAATTTATTTAAAATATCCGCGTATGAACGATCAAGACCTATACTGTGTCAGTTTTCAAATTCATACCATTATTCTGAGATTTTATGTACAACATTTCAGAAATCAATCGCTTATGGTAAAAATTTTCACAATCCATAATTTCCACATTATTCCATTCAAAATCGTAAATGCTGCAACCTATGGTCAGTGATAACAGATTTGGAGGATGTATTTCTCCGTATATGACTATGATGTTCGTTAACTCTCGTTTTTAGTATTCTCTTTGTCTGACCAACATAAGTAGCGTCACAATCACCACATTGAATTTTATATATAACTTTCTTTTTCATCATATGTGGAAGGGAATCTTTCTATACTTTGATGAAATTGCTTAACTTATTGATGCTGAAAAATGCAATCCTGTTATTAATACCATTAACAATGCTCCTAAAATTGTCAGAAATTCCCTTGACATAAGGGATTGTGAACCAACAGGTATTCATATTATTATTAACAACCTTAGGTCGTAATGGTTTATCCATAATCATATCAACTCTTTTCTTAATTTTTTCAAAAACAAAATTCATTGGATAATTATTAAGCATCAATAAATCAATTACAAACTTTAAATTTTTCTTATGGAATTCTGGATGTGAAAGTAAAAATGCCTCGTCCACTAATCCATAAATTACACTTATTTTTTGAGAAAGGGGATGCTGAGACCAAAAATTTAAAATTCTGCCCGAATATGTATGGTTTTTGAAACCAGTCAAATTGTATAAAATTATTTTTTATTATCATGGTATCCAGGAAATTGATTCTGTCACCACCTACTTCCATTGTAAATTGTAACCTTGATAAAAAAGCTGCGCAGTGATATTAATGACTGTCGTCAAGAGTATTAGTGCGTATACTTTAATCTTGGAAAAAGGTTTTCAAATCGGTAAAGGAGGAAAAAATAATTGTTATATAAAAGTTATATATAATAAGTAATATGGACAACTTTTTAAGAATATTCCTTTAACATTTAATAAATATAATAAGGATGAAATGATAACATAAGCGTTGCGAGCATCAAATGAAAATGCACGCTGGCATTTCATGTAAAAAAAGACAACTGATAGTGCTATCCGCTTATGGAGGTTCTCTCTTATTTGTCTAGAAAAGGGATATCGCATCAATCGCACATTTTTTGTAC